TAAAAAATATCTGTTGAGCACCTCTCTGTTTGTAGCACTTAGGCAATAAAGGTGAATAAGGCCATGGCACACACGTATAATCCCAGCACTCTGAGAGGCTCAGGAAGGAAGGTTGTGGGCCCACGTACAGCCCGGGCAATTTAGCAACTCAGTGAGATCCTATCTCAACATAAAAAATAAAAGGAGATGGGAATGTAGCTTCATGCGAAGGTCTTGGGTTCAATCTGTAGTACCATTAAAAAAAATAGAAAGATAGGAAAAGCTAATAATGAAAAGCATCTGTACAAAAGGTTTGGAGGAGCAGAAGGCCAAAGTGAGTGGTAGAAAAAAAATAAGTGCTAGGAGTTCACAAGCAAAGCTCTTTCAGCCATTTGAATGATTTCCTGCAGTAGGAAAGATACCCTCATAGGAGGGGGGCAGAGGGAGAGAGGCTCAGGTAATCAAAGTATGAAAATGTAGCAAAATAAAAGGTAGAAGAGTGTCTTATATTTATGGTTCAAATCTAAAATGCTCCCCCTAAAGTCTCCTATGCTAAAAGGAAGACCTTCTGGATGGAGTTTATGCCACAGCCAGAGACTACCAAAGGGACAGAAGACAAACAAACTCCAAGGCCTTTAACCTGATGCTCACTAAAAGCATGATTTGTGGTTCCTTCTGAGGCAGCCAGAGCATCAAAGTGGACTTTACTCTTCATTTGAGCCTACAGATGCCTGGTAGGCAACTCAAAGTAAAACAACGCTTGACCATTTAGTACCCTTACAACTTTGGGTCAGATCTTTGCCCAGTTCTGCACTCGGACATGTTAATCATTACAAGAGTGTCTGTCTAAATGTTGGCAAAACAATGTCGATTCATTCTATATTTACATAACCTATCTTTCCCGCCTTTAAGACCAGGCACACAAAGGTAAGAGATTCATGGAGACATTCAACCTAAAATGAGCACCCAGAAGTCTCCAATCATTGCCCTAAACCTAAGCCACCTTGAATTCCAGTAGAGCTCTATAAGACCGAGACTGCCCTAAGCAGAAATAATCATCTCATGGAGATAGACTTGATCCCTGAAGCAATAAGGCCTCCCGGAGCCATCTTGCAAAACCAGACTTGAGATAATGATCAACCTGACTAGTCACCCTAGTAGATACATGAAAAACGCTCCCATTCTTTTGTTAAAACGCCAGTCTGAAATTCCGCATCAGAGCGGCCGCACCTTGAGCTCCTCACACAGAAGTCCCTTTGCTGTTCTCTCTTATTTTCTAACTTGGCCTGAGCCTCCTACTGACACCACCCGAAATTCTTTTTCTGTGGTGTTGAGTTAAGAACTACTCCATGGGGCAGGTTGAGGTCCCCATCTCCTCTTTGGGAGGACCTCCTTGGACCCCATCTGGTGAGAACTGGATGACGAGGGCTCTAGCTTCATTGGTGGATTAAACCTTTCGATGGATCTTAATCCATCTGGCAATGAAAACTTGCAAGGCAGAACCTAGTTGAAAGGAGTGGGTCACGGGGACTACGATGTATCAGTCCCTGTCCCTTGTTCTCTGATCTTGCTCTGTCTGCTTCTAGCTTCCATAAGGTGGACAGCTGTCCTCCTCCCTTCCCTTCCACCCTGATGTTTCTGCCTTGCCATAGACAAGCAATGAAATCAGCAGACCATGGATTGGAACCTTTGAAACCATGAGCTAAAATAAACCTTTCTTTCTCCAGACCTCAGAGCAAAAGCATTTTCATGGACCAGTGAGTAGAACAGAGGTTATAGATGGTAAAAA